CCACAAACACACAATGAACAACAGTGTAGGTTTATCTACCCCAGAGTGCACTTTGGCTCTTGGAGCGACAAGTCAACACATTCAGGCTCCTATATAACAGGCTGAGCCAGTGGTGCCTCTTACACTGTTTTCTGGAGAGGAATAAAGTGAGTACTGACACTTCAATTGTACTTCAATTACTGAATGAGATAGGGTGTAATAGTCTTAGAAATGCATGGGTGTTGTGTTATATATGAAAGCACTTGAAGGAAAATGTATATTTTGAGACATAAGCAGCATGTTCAGCAGAGCTGCATGTTAGAAAGACTTTTTATTTTCATGCTAGAAGAGTAACAAAGACTCTTCATTCACAGACATCAGTAATATCTGTCAGCTACAAGCGAGTGGAGAAATGTATGACAATGTCTCACTCTGGTGGATAAAGTGAACTAAGCTTTAAATCTCTCTCCTCACAGATACCAGTGACACCATGAATAAGCTACTGGTCATTACTGTGCTGGTTGCACTTCTCTCTCTCAGTAAGTGCATTCTGAAGCCATGAAGTTGAATTCAGAATAGTATAAATCAGCTGTTTCCCTGATGAATGTGGCACCGTTTGACCCCTCTGACCTGTTTTGTGCAGGTGCTGAAAGCTTCCGCATGCCGAGGCAGGCTGAGGCTGTGGAGGAGGAGGAGGAGGTAGGGACCCTGACAAAGGTCTCAGGCACCATCAAGTCCTACTATAACAATGCCATCGACACTGCCAGTGGTTACCTGGACAGCATCAGGGGACTGAAGATCGAAGAGAAGGCAAAGTAAGCGATTTTAAATGCAGAGTTTGTTTGATTGATGCAGTATAAAAATGGATGGATTCATATATAAACTCCTCTTTTTCTGTGTGTTGCCCACAGGAATTTTTACACTGAAACTTTCTCAGTCATTACCACCTATGCTGACATTTTACATGACCAGCTATACCACATTGTGTACCAGAAGTGAACAAAAACTGATTTCCAATGACCTAAGCTACATTTTCTGACAGCGTGAGAACTTTGAAGCTCCACATGAAACAGTCTGAACTTGGACACATCTCATCTCATCCAAGCCTCCAAATCTGCAAACAGCATTTTCACAAGTGATGGACCCTGTGCTCTTTGTGGTGCTGTCTTGGGCCGCTGCACTGATAGTAAATGATGATAACTACCTAGTGGTGACTGTAATCACTGAAAAAAAAACAACTAACAGCTTGCATAAAGGAACAGGACAGAGCAACTTGGCGGGCTCAAGCGAAAGAGCACACAGCGCCTTATCATGAATAAATACATTGCTCCTTTGATCTCAGAGTTGAGAAAAAAACAGCCATGAAAATAATGCGAAAACAAATGATCTATCGCCACCTGTTGGTGATTTCAGTCATCACACCTCCTAAATATTTGTGTCATATGAAATAAAATATTTATACATTAAAACTGGTGTCTGTGGTTGATAAATGAGAATTCAGTTTCCTGTTTGATATATTTTAAATTGTGCATGTTTTCTCCTACACATCCTTTTATCTCACTGGTACAAAGGATCACGCGCTTGTGTCTGTACGGATCTGCGATGAGGCGCCGTGCTTTTATCAGAAGAGGCAGCGCATGAACAGAGGCTTCTGTTGCAATTAATAATAGATGAAAGGGAAACAACATGTAAAATGTGAGCGCAGAGATTCCGACGGAGATAAATGAACAACAGGCTGCACATGTGAAGTCTGTTTTGTGGATTCTGACAAGCAGTGATGCAAGGATGTTGTGATTTTTAATTAGTGCATAATTCTGAAGCTTCAGCCGGCACAAACAAGAGAGATACATTTGCACAAAGCCTCATCTTATTTAGTTGTTACTAATGATGTAAACAGTACCAGACGGATGCAGGACAAACTAGACATTTATGTAGTTTAGGGACTACTGTATTCTAGCACTACTGCTGCCATAGGTGTAGATTTCAGGGGGGACGCAGGGGACATGTCCCCCTCAGCACTTAAAACATGTGCATATGTCCCCTCAGTAAAAAACATAAAGTAACAAAGGACTTTATTTTGACAAAATAAAAGACATTGCCATAAACTGATGCAGAAAAGGAACAAATTGGTGCATAAATTTAAATTTTCTGTCAGAAGGCCCCCAAACCCTCGTTGTAAACCTATTTTAAATATGTAATTTAGATTTAGTGCCACGTGCAGATCCTTGTGTTTGCAGCCCTGTTATATTCAGATCAGGATCGATTTGAGTGGAGCTGCATTCCGTATTTGATGTCCAAATGTTTGTCAGATGTTTTCTCTCAACTGACTGTGACCCGATTTGGCTTTGACACTAATATGATTTAATTCGTGGGCATCTGCAGCTGCTGCAAAACAGAGAATACAAACACTCACCATTATAAAGCAAGAAAAAAGCTTATACTGACGATTACTTCAATCAATATCATATTAATCTAGTTTGTCCTATGATGACCCGTCTTTGTCATGTTTTCTCATAGATTAGAAAAACTGTGTTCATTCATGTGTTTATTACAGTCCATGTTAAAAAGGTTGAAAGTTAGTCATTGCTCCCTGTGGATGTTTCTCCTGGGTCCCTGTCTTATCACTGGGGTCGGCAGAAATCTCTCCCCTCTCTGTCCTAAGCTCCTCCCACCTGACGACCATGGACGTATGCACGCACTTCATACAGTAACCCAGTGTTTCCCATTCTCTGATTTCATGAATCTTATTTTATTGTACAGTTGCACAAAGCTCATTTGCTCAGTTCCACCTTACCCCTCTCTGTTTATCAGACCACAAATGAGACAAGAATTAGCAAGGCAATATTACATAGACTATAATGGACATAGCTACTGTGACATCAAAACAAAACCATTTTTTGTAACAGGCTGTAAACATGTTTATTTCTGCTGTAAAGTTGGTGGATCACTCATAGACTGTAGCAACACTTGAATATAAATATGCATAACTTTAAGCCTTAATAAAATGTAAATGGTTGAGTTGTATAAAAATTCACCCCCTGTTTTGCCATTTGTGCTGGCCAAATTCAAGCCACTAAAGCTGCTGACCTGAAGGTCCGTCTCCCGAGGTGCTTCCAGCTCTGCCCCCAGGGAAGCAGTTCACAGTGGTGGGGAGCAAGGGGAAGAGACGGGGAAGGGATAGAGGGTGGCTAATCAAGCGGCAGCCTCTAAGGCTGAAAAATGAAGCTAACTCTGAAGTGCAAAAAACTGCAGTTCACTGAATGGCCACATGAGGCTGGCTCCAGAAGTGAGTCACTCCCCATAAGACCCTCATGTTTAAGTGCCCAACTTTACAGCAGAAATAAACATGTTTACAGGCTGGTGGAAAAAGCGGTTTTGATGTCTATGGCTAATTTCCTCCTTCATGACAATTGTATAGGGGGTGAATTTTTATATAACTCACCTGTTTAAATACTATTAAGGCTTAAAGTTATGCATAATTAAGGGCAGGCTGCTGTAAGTGCAACCAGGTCTGATTCCAAAGTTGTCAAAATGCGTAGCTTGGGTTGTGACTTGCAGTGTCACACACTGACTAAAAAAGCCGTCCTTTAACGTCTGTATGATACGTGGGTGGATGCTGTTATAGTTTAGCAGTGCTTGGCAACGTCAGGAGGGAACGTGACGGGACAAGAACGACAACTGAGGCGGCAAAAGTCCAAGTAGGGCAGGTGGGAGGGGTGGTGTATGGGTCCCGTAAGATTCTAAAGCCAAACCTTGTTCTTTTTTCCTAAACCTAACCACATGCATTTGTCAATTGGCACTGTTGTACCGAAAGACACTGTATGTAAACGTTAAACCTCTTGTGAAAACTGAAGTGTACTTTGAAAGAAGACAATGCCTGTAACAGGCAGAACTTGACACGGTATCCCAGGACGTCAACACCCAGCGCACCCAGGGTTCCTTTCACGTCGTATCTTGATGTGTAAGGTCCATGACCAAACGTCGTTATGTGACGAGGTCGGCGGGAGAATGTGTTGTTGAGTGACATGTATGTCAGTAAGTCGGTCTGCAAGTCAGATCCACTCCTCACTCATCCATAGCTCTGCCGGCTTGTCTAAATGTGGTCACTTCTGGCTCCAAAAAACAAAGATGGCGACAAACTTGAGGCTTCAACACGGGAGTCCATAAATCAGTGGGTGACGCCACAGTGGGAACGTACCATATTTTATACAGTCTTTGCGAATTAAAAAAAAGGAACAAAACAAAAACTGACTGTGCTCTGTATGAAACGATGATTCCTAAAGTGTCCACTTAACATACAATCATATAAAGATCAGCAAATCATGTCACAAACACTGAGCTCGTGAAATGTTAACTTGCTTTGTGTGAATAATTTAAAAAATATTTTAAAAGTCATTATTTATCAACTGACAAGTATGATTTTCAGTCCAATCTTTAGCCACTCAGACTGGAAGAGATAGCAAATATCGTGGTTTCCCAGAAGCCCAGTCAGAGCTGCACAATCTGTGATATTTTTAAGACAAGCCTTTAAAAATTGCATCATGGTAAAACATTAACTTTATAAACAGCAGTGGGCATAATATCTCCACCCTTATCTCCTTTAGCACTACCAAAGCTTTGCTCATTTATCTGTGACACCATTATTCATTTGAGAGTGCACTAAGCACAGACTAACCATAAAAAATGGCTTTAATAAATCCTGCTAAACCACAAGAATCTGTGCACAGCAGATTCTTGCTGTGAAAAAGACATAAACTTCGCCAAAACACAAAAACTCTAACTGGAATCTATTATGTTGCAACAATATCTATCACCATAAATGAGGGTCTTGCTTGTTCCTCATAAACAAGGTGTGTCTGTCTAACTGAACATATTGTTAAGCGGAGGTGTTGAAAAATATCTCTGATAAGGTTATTGCAAAGGTTGGACTGGAAATGATGCTGGATAGTAATAAAGCAGTTTGTTCCTCCCACTGTCCTAGAGAAACCTTGCAGGTATAAAAAAGCTAGACTTGTCAAACATCGCACATTATCAGAGCTACAGAAGAAAAACTGCAGAGTTTCAACATGAATCTTCTCCTTCTGCTGGTTGCTTTGGGGCTCGCAGGTAGCTATTTACCATATCATGTCTGAAATAAAATATATTAATATTAGAGTAGACATTTAGTTTCTCTTTGGTCTTGTTGGTGTGTTACAGGAGCGTCTCCAGTAGTGGACCACAAGGTGTGTCAGCCTCACTCCAGGCCCTGGCAGGTCTATCTGCAAGGTAAAGGGTGCAGTGGAGCACTCATTGATGAATGGTGGATAGTAACGTCCTTTGACTGTGCGCCCAAGTAAGTACAACTACTAAGTACGTACTCATTTACTTGCACTAGCAAGAGGGTTGTAATGTAACTGGTTGTAACAGTAATGTGGCCTTTAAAACAAGGGAACAATATGATATTACAAATGTTGCCGGCCTTGAGAGCCAACATATTTTCACATCTGACATGGTGAATTAAGGGTTTATTTATCAGACCATAGTTGTTGTTTGTTGGAACTAAAACATGTTGAGTTTGAATGATGATTCAAACTCTAGTCTTAGTTCTGTGAAAGAGGCAGAGTTGAAAACAGAGGGTCTACAGTTGTATTTTTGTATCCTTTATTAACATTTGTTGAGTTTATTTATTAGACTTAAAAAAAAAAGCAAGGAGAGCCTGTGGAACATAACATTAGTGAACTTGTTGCTTGAACACATCTCCCAGCTGCTCACACCTGTGCAAATATATCGGCAACATAGATGTATTTAGGTACTGGACCCCAAGATGCCACCTATTTGTTACAGTGGGATTGCTCACCTGGTGCATACGCCAAAAAAAGCAACTTCCTGCTCGGCCCATAGAATTTACATTGTGATGACATCATAGAAATTCTATTAGCTTTTTTTGGGCTTGAGGAAATTTTGCAATTCTAATAGAAAGAGTACTCATCCAACCTGTTTGCAATTTAAGGTGTCCTGTGAACAGTTTTTCGACGTCTCTTTGTAATGGTGGTCTACGGGGAAAATTCTTTTGGGCGACAGGGATTGGGCTTTTTCTGCTACTTTACTGGGAAGACTTGAAAGCAAGGCTGAGCTGCTTTCCAGGGGGCCTCATCAGCAATCGCCAGTTGTTGGGCTAGCAAGATATCTTGTAGGACTTCTGGGCAGAAACCTTTTTCTGAATGTGAAAAACAATAAAATATAATTGTTTATAATTGGGGTGGCATGGTGGTGCAGTGGTTACCAATGATGACTCACAGCAGGAGGGTTCCTGTTTCAAGCCCAGGGTCAGGGGCTCAAACTCCGTCGTGGGGGAGCTCTCCTTAGCAGAGTCTCCCCCATCAGCTTGGGTTTTCTCTACAACATGTCTTGTTTTGTCTTGACTAGTGGAGAGAAAACGTCCGAAATACCCATTTAGGATTTTATTTCAGGTTTCTGTTCTGGAGGTAAAATGTGAAAGTTGGCTCGGCTGGTGGTCGGTGCTTGGTACTTCAGTAGACTGCGACTAACATGAGCCCCGTTTCCACCAAACACTTTCAGTATAGTACCTTTGGAACCAAAAGTAACCCTTCAGGCATGGTACCTAGACCCTAGCATTTCCACCACAAACAGTACCCTTAAATGGTGGCAGGGTTGTTGTCACTTCGTCCAGCACTCACTGTATTTCCTCACTTATCAGTCTGCACCTTGTTTATCGTCCACAGAACACGGCAGCACGCCGATATTATCAGAACAAAACAGAACAGGCTGCAGTGAGAGTCTCTCTCCATGGGATATTTAAAAATAGTGGGTTTGTGCATTTAGTCCTTCTCAGGCAAGCTCAGGGGTTTAGTGTTGCTGGAGCCCACAGGAATGATGCTCTGCGACGCTTCTTTTTTTTCTCAGAATGAGGACTAGAATATACACAGTTCACATAACCCTACCAAAATTAATATATATAAACACCTGAGGATCCACTCATTACTAAAAGTCTATGTCAAGTAAAAACTTAAGTAATTATCAAAGTTGTCACAGTGGAATTTAAGGTGTGTTGAGAGATTCAAGTCGTCAGCTCATGCATTGAGTAATATTACAAGTTAACGTTCCACCTTAAAAGTCACCGGCAGTCGGCCTAGTGAATTTCTACTTCTCAGACTACAGCTGCTGTTAGAGCCAGGGAAACATCCTTCCATTTTATAGTTACAGTTTACTAATAAAACTCTCCATGGTATGAACAGTGGTTACATGAGCCTCAAAACCAGCCACAACTCAGCCCTGAGCAGAGTGACCGTCCGCAATTGACCAATCAACAGACTGCAGTGTTCACAGCTCCACCTTTTAGTACCAGATCTGTGTGCTAGGTACCCCAACAGAGGGGGGACCAAAAATGGGGACAGTACAGAATGGTTCCATTGGTACCATCCATAACTTTTCACAGTGGAAACGGAAAAAAAGTGTACCAATCTGAACTGAACTATACCGTAAAGCTTGGTGGAAAAAAGGGTGGCTGGGACACAGACTTTCTCATATTACAGCTAAACAGTACGCTAAAATAAGTTTGTGAAAACATCTGAGTAGATAAATAGGCAATGCAGTAACAGAATCTTTATTCATATTTGATCAGTGCTGCCTTGTTTGACAGTTTGACCGCATTTCAGTTATTGATGCTATAAGCTGCTGCGTTAGAGGCTCCTCAGCTCTGATTGGCTGTTTTTGGTGTGCTATGGTAGATCCTGGCAAATGCCATTAGAGGCAGTAGGAAGAGGAGGGACGTGTTTTTTTTCACAGTCTGTCTTGTGTAATTCTTTGATAATATAGTGACACTTTCACCAAATATGATAAAGTTATTTTCATGAGTAACCAACTGTAGCTTTAAAGTCAGATTTTCTGTGTGTCTTACACCAGTGTGGTGAAATGTTTTTATTACAGTCACTCAGTCAAGAGTCAAAACAAACGTTTACAATAAACAATTGTTTTGGTTAAGCAGAATTTTCCTAGTAGCAGTACATCCAAAACAAAACCTCAGCAGTAAAATCACATTTGAGCTTGTTAAAACCCAACAGAGGTGCTTGATTTATTCTGCTTTGTTCCAATTCAACCATGTATTATTAAAAGCTAGTTTTTTTTCTTCTGTTTCTTACCTGTAATTGAACTGCTGCTGCTTTTTCAGCGTGACCTTCAGTCTCCAGCCTCTCTGCTGCTTGGCACAATTTTTCCTGAGGAAATAAAAGGCAGACAGATTTCTATTTTTTGTTTCCCTCACGAAAGAGAATCATGAATAGGTCAGACATAATTGTCATTGGGTTTTACCATTGTATAGCAATGCGCATGCTGTTCTAATAATCGAATCTTAAAAAAGTATGTCAAGAGACATATAATCTGTCCTGACAAGGCAGGCTCGTCTTGGGTAGTCAGTGTTTGAAAGACTGGATATTGTTGGCTGATCACTGCAAATTTCACTCCTGTTCCTCTTTAATTAAACCACATTCATTAACCTGCTGCTCGTGTCTGATTAAGGCTTGAAAAACGTCAGTCATGGGCCTGTTTCCGCCTGAGGCCTGAAAAATCCACCTCAGCTTACTAATGACAGCCTCTCTTCCCTTGTCCCTGCAGACCCTACGACACCATAGCAGTTCTTGGGGATCATGACCTGACTGTGCATGAGGGCACCGAGCAGCGCATTTATGTTGCTGATGCAATCGTTCACAGTCCCTACCGCTCACCCTTCCACAGCCTCACGCTGGTCCGTCTGGCGACACCCGCCAGCTTCAACAAGTACGTCCAGCCCATCCCTCTGCCCAGCCGCTGCCCACTGACTGGGGAGACTTGCTATGTCAGTGGCTGGGGATCCACCATCCCGAATCAATGTAAGTGGATTTAAAGAAGCTACTGTGGCTTTTACACCTCATTAACTTGTCACCACATTAGAATTTAGTATAATTGCAGCAAAGCCAGTGTTCACTAATCCAGTCTGTCAGTATTCCCCGTCCTACAAGCCTTACACTCCAGCTTTCCTATGAATATCTGATCCGACTAAAGGCCTCCCGTAGAGCTTTTATTGTAGTAGTTGTTTTACATTCAGTGTTTCTCATCAAAATGCCTTGTGTGTATCTGGGAGGCCTAAAAAAAAAAACACACTGAATGCATTTGCAAAACCTTTTTTGGAATGTATTGAAACCTGCTTTGAATTTCAGAGATGTCTTCCACTACAATGGAGATGAAAATTTCAACAGACCTCACAGTGGACAGTTTCATACAGCCTGTCTCTGCAGTGGAGCATAGTCCCTCGAAATTGTAGACAGTTGATGCTGTGGATTATGGATTCAGCTGTAGCTCCTGTATTTGGGCACTGATGCTGAAAAGAAGTGCTGAATTTTAAATGTTTTTTTAGAAATGCTGTGAGCAACAAACCAAATTAATGTACAACCCCACAAGTGTCAACTGCCCCTTTAAATAAGGCCACTGTGTATTTGAGGGAAAGAAAAACTGCCCCAGAATGTCAGCTGTGTGACAAAACCCTTTGATTAACATTATTATTATTCAAAGGAATCCGATCCATGATGGTTTATCTAAATACAATAAGTTATGGGACAATGAAATGTACTTCCATCTATGATGCCACTATATTGCAAACACTGTCAGACTTTGAATTCAAGCAGCAGTTGACAGTTGACAAATGATAAACTTGACATAACAGAAAAATAGTTTTGGCTTTCCTAAGTAAAGGGATCAGACTTATAGTAAAACAAGGAGTGAAATATAATAATTAAAAAACATTTCTTTTAAAGGAGCAGTGTGTGGGATTTAGTGGCATCTAGTGGTGAGGTTTGCATATTGCAACCAAACGAAATTTACCTGCCGAGTCTTTTCCTCTCCAAAACAAATGGATCAGGTGATTTGAAGCGGTAAAAACACCGAATAAAGCAGTTTCACATTACATATCTATGTTTTTCCGACACTGTTTGGCATGTCGCTGATGGGCTGCTGGCCCTGCACCTGCTAATATGTGCTCACCTTTTTCTTCTTATAACTTAAAACCCAGGTGTTTAGAGGGCTTTCACTGGAAGTCAAATTATCCGCAGAAATCTCTTCCTCTCCAAGACAAATGGATCAGATGATTTAAACCACTAAAAAAACTGAATGAAGCAGTTTCAGGTTAAAAATCAGTATTTTTCCGATGCTGTTTGGCTCATTGCGCAGGGGCTGTTCTAGAGCCAGTGTTTGGTTTGTACATTCTGGGCTACTGTAGAAACACTGCGTTACAACATGGTAGACATGATGGACTTTTAGGTGATTAAATAAAACATACTTATTATATCCTCCTGAGACCCTACATCCTCATTATAGGAAATCAAATTTTGGGTTTACTTTTGTCCTCGTTAGTGGACACTTTTTATGATATCTAGTGGTAGTAAGAGCAGAATACACCAATCCATGTAAAAACACGATGGCAGCCATCTCTGCCAAGTCAGTCTGAAGCCGATCCCGATAAAAAAGTGGACAAGATCCAAAACCTGATCACATTTTATGGTTAAAACTTGTTTATTTACAGTTAATAATGTTTGTAGTTTGATATGGCAACAAATTTGACCAATTTTAGCAACAGTAACAAGCTGAGACGCTGTTAATAAGGAAGTACTTGTTTGAAGACATTAGGACTTTAGTATCGTCTCGTTTGAGGACACGGACTTAATTATTGTTGACTATGTTTAGTTTTTTATACTTATCGGGTCCTACTGCCCAAACTAGCTGGGAGAAATTAAAAATGTATACCAAACAACAGTTCAGGTCTCAGGAAGATATTCCAATTCTCCCGATATTCCTCCCAAAGCCTACACACTGGAAAGTCCCACACACCTTAGTGGCCCTTTATTCCACAGAGACACTTTCCCATTTGACTTAAGTACATCAGTACAGTGTTATAGATGTGTGCCAGCTTGCTTTGCATGTTTAAATACTTGCTCTTTAAAACAAATGCACATGGAGTGACACCGGGCAACAAGTAGCACCACTCACTTGAGCAGATAACATTCAGCAGCAAAATGCACTACTTTTACATTTTCACAGTGACTCAGGGAAATTCTGATCAGCAGGTGGACATGTAGTCACTAAAAAGCTCATCAATATTCTGGTCATTGCGACGCTAACAAGGCATGAACGTTCTGTTTCAATAACGGCTAAAAATGGCTTTCTTTAATCAGAGCGCTTTCTAATTGCCTGTCAAAATGCCCAGTCAGTGATCAGGACTAATTAAAAGAGGTAGACCTTGAAAATAGTATTTACTCAAGGTTTAGACCTTAATGCTCCGGTGCAAGTGGTAATGCATAAAGATGGGAAGTAATCCACAGACCTGGAGAGGGGAAGGAAGGAAGCTTTTGTTGAAGAAAGAGTGACAGATTGATGAGTGGTGTACACTACAGAATACATCACAATCAATACTTTATGTCACAGATTCAGATACCTATGACTTTAGTTTTTGAACGAATCAGAGTAACAACCCACCTTCTTGCTCTTGGAAACAGATGAGCCCCAACAGCAACTGAAGTGTCTAACTGTGCCTGTTGTGGATGACCAGACTTGCGTGAACACGTTCCCTGAGTACTTGTACTGGAGCCACGGCATGGTCTGTGCTGGACGAGCAAACACAGATAACTGCATGGTGAGCATGGTCACAACCCAAAGAAAGTGTGGATCACACTTCTGTATTCCTCTGCCTCCCACTGGATCCCAGCCTTTTTTTATTTCACTTTAACTGGCTAACCAACCTGCTTACTGCACATTTCCCCAAAAACAACCCAAACAGAGTCTCTTATTCTTTCCCCTCTCTCTCCAGCGGAATAGAGGCAGCGTGATGGTGTGCAATGGCCAGCTGCAGGGTGTGCAGTGGTTTGCTCACGGCTGTAAAAACCCAGCCAACCCCACCGTCTACACCAAGATGTGCATATACAATAAGTGGATCAATGATGTGAGGGACCGCTACATACCAGAAACTCTGCCAACCACTCCAGAGATGAGGACATGAGGCAGCAGAGAGACATTCATTCACAGATTTGATGTAAACACTATAAAACACTATTATAAACATTACTCCTCATTTTACTGGCAGGGGTCAGTGTTATGAATACTATGTTTAAACTGGAAGGTTGGGGTTTATTGCATTTAATGATGGTACTCTAGTGAAGATTAACTGACATAAATATACAAAAGTATCTATGAACATTATGCAGCAGTCTCAAATGCAAATCCTATGCTCAGCTACAAAAAATCAAGCCAAAAAATCTGTATGCAAACTCAAAACTGTACATATAAACAACAACAAAAAATAAAATGTCATGTGTTCGGAAGGCTTAATGTTTTATTCATGATTTTTAGTGCACTATTTACTCTGTGATTCCTCCTTTATCCTCATTTGCTTCAGCAAAAAGTTTCCACAGCTGGCTAATAGCTGCAAATTAGCTGTGATTTTTTTCATATCATAATTTCACACATGCTGCTGCATGTGACACTGACGGTGAATTAAACATGACAACGAAAAGTTGTTTTGTTCCAACTGTTGAACGGTAAAACCATTAAATCTTGTGACTAATGGCTACTGGATTAAAGGCCTATCAGCTTTTTTAAATTTGTGAGACTAGTTAATGTTTTGAAAAACAACAAATGAGTACAATGCCCAAATTGGTACTTCAAGGGATAGTGCACCCAAAAATTAAAATTCAGCCATTATCTACTCACCCATATGCCGATGGAGGCTCAGGTGAAGTTTTAGAGTCCTCACAACATTTGCAGAGATCCCAGGGGAGAGGAGGTAGCAACACAACTCTACCTAATGGAGGCTCATGGCGCCCCAGATTCAAACGTCCAAAAACACAACAACTTTTTATGTCGGGGCTTCAGGACACTTTTTTGGACGTTTGAATCTGGGGCACTGTAAGCCTCCATTAGGTGGAGTTGTGTTGCTACCCCCTCTCCCCTTGGATCTCCTCAAGTGTTGTGAGGACTCTAAAACTTCACCTGAGCCTCCATCGGCATATGGGTGAGTAGATAATGGCTGAATTTTCATTTTTGGATGCACTATCCCTTTAAGGCTGCTCAAGTCTGTATTTTTAGATAAACAGTAGATCAAATGACCAGTGGCGTCCTAAAGGGGGGGCCATGGATCCCCTGATAAAATTGCTGGACGTGGTGCACTCAGTTATTGAGCTAAGCAAAGGAAGTGGTATCTTCTGAAACTTGACAACCTAAGGCATTCATTGGTACCAACCAGGTTGGCATAGCTTGTTGGTAGAGGTTAAATAATGCTCCAAAGTGGATTCTATTTTTACCCACAAGTCTCCCCTCAATTTGAAAAGGCTTGTTTCCAGTAAATGTTAAACAATAAATGTACTCCTTCAAATTAAAGCTGTATGTCTTTTTTAAAGGAAAAGCACAACCAGCCTATTTGAAGTACAGTGGATTGCCTGTCACATGTATCTGCAGACACATGACACATTAAAACAGAATTGTTGTGGAACTCAAAATGTTAACTGCACTGGCATGAGTCTATGCACATCAGGTAATTAGTTATATTGGGTCTCATTCATGAAACATGAGCAGAATGAATTTGTGTGTAAACTGTTTGCAGAAGGAAATTTATGTGTATTTTGGTATTCATCAATATGTTAGTAGCTCCAATCTACACCTGCCTCTAACTGCTCACAGTGCTTGTACGCAGATGTCTTTGAAACACGTAAGTTAAAAATGACAAAATATTACAAATATAACACATTCGGTTAAATTAGTTGGAAATTAGCTCATTAAATCTTCAGATTAGGTTTCTTAAAAATGTGAATGAGTAAATTAAATGGACTTATTAGGTGTATTTTCTACATTTGTGGCATCCCGTTCCCACTTGAATCAATGAGGAGATGCAAATGTATCTTCTGTTTGAGTGGCGAGACTGTGAGACCCATGTCACTGACCAAACACTGAGCTATCAGTGATGGCTGTCAGAATGTAGTGATTTAACATTTAATATAAGACATACATCACTGTACCGTCTGAGTTTGCTATTGACTGCCTCAGTGGAGGCATGTCGATGTCTGTGTCAGGAGTATTTCCTGACAAAGAGGTCTCTCTGTTGATTCAAGCAATGAGCTCATCTGCAGCTGTGGCTGGGTCTCCTCCTGTAGCTACTGTGTTTGTTTTGTGTGTGTGTACTTAAAAGTTTTTTGTATCAAGTTTCATATCAAACCATTTTTGTTTAACTTCTTGGCCGGTTCTTAAAACATAGGACATGGAGTTAACAGCATCCATTATCTCCTTCCAAGCCTTTGATTTACCTGTCCCTGTCACAACACAAATAATGTAATAAATTAAAAATTAAAAATATTATACGTATCATTGAGATGCTTCTCTTTCTCTCACTGTCTTTGTTTGCTCCATGCTCGCAGGTCGACAGGATGCAACGATCCATAGTAATTATCACCTCCATATATGGCAGTCACTGGCTATTCATGAGTGAGAATGTATGCTTTTTGCTGACTGGTAGGAGCATGCTGTCAGTTTATGATTAATTGGCATTCATGAACATACACACGTGCATACGATCATATCTGAATTTTCCATGGCATTCAGGAATTTGGTGTAGGTTTTTAGTACTGTTTTTTTTTATGTGCAAATCTACTCAGAGATTTACTAACAATTCATGAATGAGACTAATTAACTCTAAAATAAGAAACCAAAATATATCAGCATTCCTTAACTCTCCATATTTCAACTTTCAACTAACCTACATACTTAAACAGCATAAGCGAATATAATATTCCTGATATTCAGTTATGGTTTTTGGTTTTGGTGTGCCACCCAAGGTCTTTGGTGGCATCTGACCCTTGCACCACTGCAAATGACAACATGTAATAAAGAGGCCGCTCATCGTGAGAAACCCACGGAAAATTATCACCCAACTCTGAAGTAGGCTACTTGTTAGCTCAGTGCACCTTTAGCATCTTTTGGCACATTGTTTGGATTTTATTTGCAACTTAAATGTTTCGAATTAGGCGGAATTTATACTTCAGTGTTAAACTGATGACGTAACCTGCGCTGTAGCCTGATGTGCATCTCCCAAAAAATTTAACTACACGTCACAGCAACGCAAGCTGTCTATTCTTGTAAGCTGAAACCATTTCCCTCAGTGGAAACGAAGCTTTTATTCACTTTTATTTCACAGATAAGAAACAATAATTTGTGTAGATAATTCTTGTGTTTGATTTATCCTGGCTTTATATGAGCAGAGGAAATCTCCGCTCATCGCTAGGCTAATTTATACAATATAAAATGCCATAGGCTTGTGCTAATAACGTGAGCATGTTGTATTTGTTTGGAAAACGTGTTTAGTATAAGACAGTTCTTTTGTTGGTGAACTTTGTGGGTTGTAATAGAGTTGAATTTTGTAACATTACCTTTGTTAAATGTTGCTGTTGTCCCTGGCTTCATATGAGTAGAGGAAAAGTCAGCTAGCTGCTGGGCTAATTTACACAATGTAAAATGCCAAAGGCTTGTGCTAGTAACATTAGCATGTTGTATTTGTGGGGAAAATGTGTCCAGATAAAGACAAGTGCTTTGTCTGTGAATGCTGTGAGTTATAATGAAGCCGATTTGTGTTTGAAATTGTCTCTATTAAACCATGTTTAATGTGTGTTTTGGTTGTGTTTTGAATCAACTAAACTTTACAGCACTTCACAGAAACTTTCACTGCCAACTAGTGTTTTGGAGGTGTAACTGCAGAGTGACACAGACACACCACCACACAAGTATAAATGCTAAAGGCGTAGGCTAAGGTGTAGGGTCTGCCGCACAAGTATAAATCCCGCTTTACTCTCCCATTACAGTTGTTTCCATCCACAGCAGCAGCAGGCAGCTGTTTTCAACCAAAAGCTCCACTGCAAACTACCTGCCCAACGCCAAACAGCAGATGGACAAAGTTACCGACTAGCTGGTGAACATAGTGAAGCATTTAGCAGCTGAAGAGCCAGATGTGTCCCTCGGAGCTCAAAGGAGACCAAATATCAGAGCTACATTTGTGAGGTGGCTGGATTCTATGATTACAGCTTGTTCTGCTGCGGCCAAAAATACAGAACAACTTGGTCCTAATTGATAATAATGTCACTATCAGCAAACTGACCTTTAAGTTATACAAGTGTGTAATTGGCATTTTTGCAAATAATAGAACTGTTATTCTAGAATTAAACATGTTATTTCTATTTATTATAGTTTCTTAATTAATTTCTTACAAATAAAATGAGCCTGATAATGAGGCGTTCATGGGAGTTTTGCATGGATGCAAATGCTCCTACATGACAAAGGCTGGGCAGCGTTAATATCAAGCACCACTAGATGGGGGTAAAGCCCAATGATAAGGAAACACATTGTGCCAAAGTGCCAAAGAGAGAGAGACAGAGAGAGCCCCTGACAGGGTGGACAGGTGACGTGAATCTTACATTCTTTGCGAGGTTTTGTATGAACTCTGATCTGAGATCTGAGCTCTGAGCCACGACATAAATATGATCGCACAAGTATGTCACAGCAGTAAACATCTAACGCAGCTTTACCGAGACACAGTGAGTACAAAGGAGCTGGAGAACACATGGGGGAGTCAGAGACACTGCATACATACACTAAAACAAATACACACATGTGTGCACACACACTCACACTTACATACAAAGTGACTGACAGCTGTGTCCATAATCACCCAGGCAGCTGAACATGGGGGCCACTCTGCCATTTGTTCCCACCATTTCTCTCCAGATCCTCCGAGTCCTCACCCCCTCTTCTCCCACCTCTGCGGGAGACAGAGGGAACACTGAGGGGCTGACTTTAGTAACTGGGATGTCACTTCATAGAACAGTGTGATATTAATTGGTGTGAGCTTTAAGAGCTGCTGCTTGTTTTTTTCTGTCACTTTGAGTAGCCTCTGTTTATAATTCCAAGGGATTTGACTGAAATCAGTTTAATGTAATTGCCACTATGTGGGTAATTATCTTTTGTAACAGATACAATAGATACTCTATTCTCTCCCTCGGGCAGGATACCCAAGACAACAAGGCTGAAATCCTGTGGGATTTCCCCCAGATGCCTCCTTGGTCTCCTTGTGTACTGATTCCCAAATGATCTGCAGTTTGTTATGGCTTGTACATGTGGTCTACTTCCCTCCAAAGAAGATATGGTTCCCGGTTTACCAGGCTGCATCTCCATAATTTCCACCTGAACTCCCTGGTAATTGAAATGGGTTATCTCCTTTGCTTGTGCAAACACCACAGCCCATTTCCTTCCTTTAATTTCTAGCTGGAATTCAACCTTTCATTTC